ATTTGTTTGCTTTGGTTTTGGAAAGTTCCATTTACAACAATTGAGCCAACTACAAGGATGAATTTAGGCAAAAATACATGTTTTTGTCCATTATAAACATAACCATTTAATTGAAGAGCCCCTAGCATCTCTTTGCTTTGGAAAAACAAATTTTCAAATCTGGCAAGCAAATTGCCTTAGTTTCAGGGATATGGTTTTCCATCTTCAGGAAAATGTGACCTGAAGAGAAAAAGAATTAAAAGTGTTGAGTTGAGGCTTCTTAAATTTGTACCACCCTGTCCCTAGAAAGTTTCACCTGTATTGATTATGTGTGATCTTGTATTAGCTCCAGCTATATTCTCACCTGAATGTAGGCATCCTTGCCTCAGAAAGTCTGAGCTTGTGCCTTGCTTTGCTTATGTCATGTCTAAAACAAGAAACCTCTAAGGGGCTTGTGGAATACAGCCCATCTCTCTCCCCTGACACATTTTTGCTGAGGCTGTCTGTTGTTAGAGAAGGTGCTGGCAGGATGAAGCACATAAAAGACCCCTCCCTGTGGTAAGCTGTTTGTGCTTTTTGTTGGTCTTCCTGTATTAACACTAAGGGCTACTCATAATGTTAAGCTTCAAGTAAACTTTAATGCTAATTGCTATCCCAGAACATAATGTGATACCAGAAGGGATCTGGAGTGGAATGGGGCCTCTGAATGTAGGGAATGGAAGAGTGCCTCTGAAATCCCATAGACAGAAGAAAAGGTGCTGAGATGGAGAGAACACCTAAGCACCCTGAGACGGGTGTCCTTCTGCAATATTTTTGTGCAAAGGTGTTCTCCTCATTGGGTGGGATTATGGAAAAGGAAGAGGAGAAAAAATACTGTTTCTGAAATGCAGGTTCAGAGGCTTCAGGTTTAATAATCTAGTTAACGAAGGAAGAAGTCAGTTGTTATATTCCAGTAAAAAAAGTGACCGTTGGGGATAAATTCTGTAAACTTTTATATACACACATATGCAGAGCAGTGAGAAGGACAGTGGTGTCAAAGTAACAGAAGGTTGTTTTAAAAAGCTGAGGAGGTTGATGTACAGACTGATGTACAGCTTTCTGGGTTGACTGTGGGTTTTTACACTGCAGTTCTGAAGTGTCACTTCCTTGAAAATTATCTGGAATCATCAGTCAAATAGTAAAAGGCAGAGATACTGTTTTTAATAATAATTATGAAGTAATGTGACAAGAAGACACACAAATGTAAGGCTTTTTCTATGAATTAAACATATATTAACATGGACTAAAGGCTGCAAAGGAAAAAGAGATGGGTTCTTGGGCAGTGATTTCACAGGAGATGGTGCTCAAGTTTAACAGGTCACTGCTGCCAAAAAGGCCTCTTCATTTCAAGTTTTGTGTTCCAGTCTGTTATTTTGTGAAGTAATTGATGAGTTTTGCTCTGTCTCTCCCAGTCCTCGATTGAGTCAACTCAGTAGCCTGGCAGAAACATAACCAGGCAGAAAAATGTATCACTTTTTGCTGAATTCATTCAATCAGTCATTTGTTTAAATAGTTAAGTCAGGAGTCTTTACAAAGCATCAGAACACAAAGGAAGAGATGGGATTGCATGACTGGGTGAGCTGCTGGGGAGAGTCTTTGTAGGCATCAACAAAAAAAAGTGAGATAACCTGAAGCTGTGCATTTTCTTTGATTTGCCATGAAACTTTGCCTCCAAGAAACCATTAGGTATGGCACTGACTGAAATTCTTGGTAAATTTGGAGAAATGCAAGCCATGGTTATGGTTGGTCAGTGGTATCTCAGGAATCTTCCAGATGCTGAGTCCAGCAGACACTGAAATAAGGTGCATGCCCACAGAAACCTACCTGTGGGCCTTGTGAGCTGACAATATCCACAATATTAGTGCGAAAAATTAGGTTCTAGCTACTTGTAAAGATGGAGAGGCCAATAGAAACAAAGTGCAAAAATGAAGTTGTGAGATACAGTGATTTGAGAGAGCATATGTTAGATTGTTTCTGCTCACCAGGAATAATCAAAGGGCTGTAGGTGGTGTTGAGAGTGAGTGGTTAAACTGCTTTGGGTTCTGCTCAATGTAGTGGTTTTGTTTTCCCAGCTGAGTTCTTAAAAGCTGATAGATTTCATCTAAAGTAATGGAGGTTTTTCTCTGCAGTATCTCAGGAATCCTTGGTCTAACAAATCCAGATTGAGACCACTATCTGTTCTCTGCTACTGATACATCCCAAATTTTCCATCTTTATAATAAGCACGTGGATTTTAAAGTAGTTCATGAAGTCAGGGTAAAACTCTAAGGGATTTCAAAGTTATTTGAAGTGGCTTATTAGTCATTATTTGGTCTTTTCAGCTCATTGAAAATAACTAATGAGAATGAAAGTTTCTTGGGTCAAAGAAGGAATTTCTCTGTATGTGTATATTTTCAGACTCTTTTCCTAATATTTATCGTCCTATGATGGCGGATCTCTGATACCTCTTACCACTATGTGCTTGTACAGAAGGGTCTGTTTTTACCTGCACATACCGAGAGACAAGTTTTTCAGACAACAGCTCACTGAAGGGCAGAGGCACAGAGGCACTTGCTCTTTCCAAGATACATCAGGCTACACCAGATACAACAAAAATTACCTAAAACATGTATATGCCTCAAAGCTTCCTGGTCTGAAAAACAGTTTGAAGCTAGGGAAGCTTTAGGATGAAAGTTCATATATAAATGCCCTGTCCTCACTCTCTCCTAGACTTCAGTTCATGCCCACTGTTCTAATTCTTTCTCTCCTGCCCATGGCCATAGGCCAAGACAGGAGCATGAGCTGGCTGAACCTTGTTTAGGTCCAGTATGGGCAAGCTTGTGGACAGGAATATCCACATTGTAGGCATCCTTCAGATCATTCTCACACTAAAAAGATGGAAAAGTAAGATACAACATCCCTCCCAGAAGGAGGGGGTCTTTGAGATCCTTGCTTTTAAGGGGTGCACAGAGTATGGCTCAGAGTGTAATTTTGCAATAACTTATTTCAGTTGCTGAATCCCCTATTCTCAGTCACTTCCTTGACCCATGCCTGGCATTCAATGAGCTCCGTGCTGAGTCATGATGATAAATCATCAGAAAATTTAGCTCACTGCTGGCATTTTTGTTCTGAAACTGTAGTATTAGATCTGATCCTTAGAGATGATCCTTGCTTATGTATTGAAGAAGGGACTGAAAGATGGAGGGACAGTCCCACTCAAACCCACATCCCATACTCCCAGGGTTCAAATACAAGGAAGTGAAGCTATCCACAGCATGAGCCTCAGTTTGGAGAGAATGGATGTAATAAGGATTTATAAAATCAAGGCAGTGGTTAGAGTGAATAAAGATTGATGTTTTCCAAATCCTACAGAACTATAAGTAGGGGCAGTCGTTGAAACCAGTAGGAAATTGATTTAGAAAAGATAAAAGGGAATATACTTTTTAAATGTAGCAGATATAGTGAACTTGTGGAATTTACTGCTGGCAGAGGTTTTGGAAGCAAGGGGGTCAGCACATTGGAAAGGAGACTTAACAGTTAAATTGACTGCGTATTCATAGGGAGATGCAAAAAGAATTTAGTAGTGATATGCTCCCTAGCTTCCCTAATACAATCATTGTGGCTGCTGGAGGAGAATAAAGGACATTTATATGCCTGGCTTGTTCTCTTTAAATAGTATCTCTTGTTATTAAAGCTAGGATACTGGGGATAACTGGATGTTCATCTAACCCACCAGGACATCCTTTATGTTCCTCTCAGGGCTCTGATTTTGTGTCCACAGGTATGTGAGGATTAATGCAATGTTGTAGGAGTTTGTATTTTAGTTTTTGAAGATGATACCTCAGGGTTCTCTTACTTCTCTTACAGCGAGACCTGAAACATAGGTCACTAACACTGCTTTGTATCCTATTAAGGAAATGCACACTTTTAAGACAGCCCACATAGTATCAGTGCTTAGATAGGGACTTTTAAACTGAACTATAGCTCTCCTGATGTTGCACTTTCCCCTGAGATCCTTCTGCTTTGTCTGCATAGAACTTGATGAATACTCATGTCTCAGGAAAGATTTTGTAAGTTGTGATAGAATTTCCCCCAGGATATCAGTGTATTTTGGAAATATTATTTGAGAGTCATCTGTTGGAAAATATCTAGTGCAGCTGAAGGAGAGAGAGTGCCAGATTAGACAGATTACTAGGCATGAATCCCAGGCCTTATTTGTATGAGTACTCCTTCTGCCTTTAGATAATCACATTAACATCAGGAGTATTGCTTACAAATGTACTACTGAGAAAAAGTGGTGAACAGGCTTGAGCCCTAAAGGACACGTTCTTGTTCCAGCACTTTCCTGTCGGAATCTGTGGGTATTGGTGATTCCGAGATTGTAGAAAGCCTCTGTCTTTCTGCCCCGTTGCCAAAGAAGAAGCCATAATTCGTCTGTGCTGTTTTCAAGGTTGTTTATTTTTGCTTATCTATAACATGTTCTGCTGCCCTGCCGCAGGTCTGTTCTGCAGGGCAGCGTGCGGGGCTCTGCCCCTCAGTGGGATGGTACAAACATTATATACCAGAAACTACGTGTGCTATATTTACAATAATGTGCCAATATCTATCATCTATGTTGAATAGTGTGTCCCTAGCCTAAACCAATAGGAAAATGCCAACATCACCAAGAACATGGAGGTAAGGAAGAAGAAGGAGGAAGAACAGGTTCAGGCCCACTTTCCTCCATCTTAGAACTCCTGACCCCCCTGTACAAAGTAAAACCCCCCTGTACAGGTGTTAAAACCCCCCTGTACAATACTAAAAAATTTTACCCTCTAATTTGTGACTACTTTTACCATATCATCTAACCCTCTGTGACTGCTTGTTCCACCTTTAAAGTTGGTAATTCATTCCATGGTTCAAACTCAAAATCACAGCTGTTTTCTGCTGTTTGCCAGGGTCTAAAATGCTTCTGACCAAGGCCTGGAACCTCTAAAAATGTCTGAGGGACATTTTGAGTTCCGACACTTTCCTATTGAGATTCTGACCTTTTCCTCATCAGAGCTCATTAGAGTTGGTACATCCACTAAGAAGGACAACCTACTGCCCAGCAACCTCAGGTAATGATTACCAACCCATCTTTTACATCTATCAGAAGTAACATTTTTAACAGTTCGTGTGTTGTTGTTCCATTTCCTAAGCTTTTCCCACACTTAGAGATACACAAGTACTGTGTTTCATGCTTGGTTGATTATGAAGCCAGATCTTTTGTCTCCTCTGAGGGTTTTTTTGGTGCTTCTCCAGTGCAGATGAGCCAGGAACCTTCCACAAACATGTGCTAGAGGAGCCCCCAGTGGGTGGTGAGACTGGTATCTCATGGTGGTTGTCATCAGTCAGCGTGGGTTAGGATATGTCTTGCCAAGCCTTCCTGGAGAAGCACAGCTTAGTGAGACCTTAGGGATCTTGCCTAATAACAGCAGTTACCTAATTAAAAAAAAAAAAAATAAAGGAAAAAGAAAGCTGTCTCCATATTTTTGTGGTAGATGATATCCAAAGGATTACCACTGTGAGTGCAGAGGGAAGATTATAAACATCAAACGATAGAAAGTGCTTATATGTCTGCTGTTGGGTGCAATTACTCAAGCTTGGAAAAGATTAAGTAACTTTTATTTATACATCTAAAAGAAGAAGCCAAGTTAAAGTACTTATATAGATCATCCTCAAATGTGAAAGTGTGAGATAAACAATGCCAACAGCAGTGCAACATAAAATCAAGATTTCAAGCCAAACATCCATGAAGGAAGAAGTATTCCATGGAAAATATCATATTCTTGCAGTCTTTCTGACCACAGAATTACACTCATTATGGTAAAGCTATAATTGCAGCCTTGTGAATACAGTGCTGTAGACAATGGCTTGTCAGTGTTTTTCCACTATAAACCCTCATGTGAGGTTTGCAATTTTATGAAATACAATTATCTTTGGCTGGGATATTCAGCTATATTCTCATCCCAGAAATTGACCTTTTTTGTGTGCATATTAGTTTCCTTTACCGAGTTGTTCAAAGTTCATTGTTTGATAAGTGTTTGAGCCTTTCTGATTTCTTGGCTGCTTGTGCCTTATCTGTACTGTGAGGATGTATGGGGAGTTTGCTGTCACTGGTAATGCATCAATGCTTTGTAATATTTAGGGATGTCAGGCTGTTGCAGAGTCCACACTTTGGACCAAACTGCCTACATTTGTAGTGATGTGGTTTGGGAAAGTCAGGACAGCAAGATTATAGCAAATTAGCACTGACTAGCATAACCAGGCATGTACAGCAAAATGTGCTTTAGGGAATACTAGAGTATATTATTACAGCTATGGAAGGAAAGAGAATTGGCTGGGCCAGCTAAATGGATAAAATTGTAAAGATCTGTCTGTCTTAAAGAAAAAGGAAATTCTGAATTGATGTTTCAAAAAAATCTTCTAAAACCTGTAGTGAACCCCTACAACGTGTAAAAACCACTTGTGCAATTCTGATTTTGATTCTTTGTTTGGCTTAGCTAGGGGTTTTATCTGTGAGATAGTAGTAATAGAAACCCAAATCAGGCCAGTTCATTTTTTTCACAGATAACTCAAGTGGGAAAACACACTGCCAACATTGAATGCCGATTCCCAGATTGAAGTGTGTTTAGTTACAAATCCTAACTATATAACACCTGCATATGAACTCCTATATAAAATAGGACATCTCAAATAACACGTAATATCTTACTTAAAAATAATTATTTTGAGACAAATATTACATGCACTTAAGGGATCTCACCTGAACAGTTCAATTAACATGAATTAATTCAGTGTCAATCAATGCTCTGGAAGAAAACCTGAAATCCTTGTGCTACAGAGATCTCTGGTTGCTTCAGCAACTTGTTACATGTTGCGGGGGAAAACTGCTGAGTTCACATAGCTAAAATAAATACAAATCAAAGCAGTTTATTGCTTAATTGGCAGAGTGTAATTATACAGCAATCAGTGAACTATGGAAACGAGATCAGTAATACAAATAGGCAAACAATGCTAGCTAGAGCTTGTAAACAGTCTTCTATTACTAATCCCAGAAACACACAGGCACATGTATGCACAGAGTTGTATGCACCCCCTCAACTCATGGGCAGTATGGGTTACAAAAACACCCCCCTTCCCAAAGATTGCAGATTTCCCTGTCTACATGTCTCCTGTGGCAGATGTGGATCCTCTATCTTTTTACAGATCCCTGCAGTTCCCTACAAGTCATGGGCTGAACCACACACCCCTGAGACAGTTGTTTCACTTCCAAGGTCTGTCCTGTTACAAGTTTTCACACTTCTTTTGTATTTTTTTTTCAGTCTGGCTCTGGCTGTGTGTCAAGTTTTTTTGTAATTCCCCAGTAACTGTTTAATCTGGTTGATGATCATCTGTAACATGATCAGTTTGGGCAAATGTTGGCTGGGCAGGTGGATGTGTTTCATCTGCAGACACACACAGATACTCAATTCACACACATCTTTATCTTCAGGGATGACATTGTCTATGCCTTTGTCGAGGGTGTGCTGTGTATCCCTGCCACATCTATAGTGAGGGAGAGGCCTCCCTGGGAGATGTGTGGCTCACAGGAGCAGCGAGAGCAAGGGGCATGGCCGAGCTGCCTGCAGCCATGTGGCCAATGCAGCCATGCAGTCACTGTTCAAACCAGAGTGACTTGTGTTCTGGATGCATCCCACTCAGTTGATGGTAATGATAAGTGGGCAAGCAAATCTATTTCCAGACTCCCTTCATGCTCCAAAATCCAAAAATAAAATTAACAGTTGCTTTACTAAATGTGTTTTGAATTCCTATTATGATTCTCAATAAAGGGATCATAAATGGGATGGAAACAGCAAATTGAATCATTGGAAAAGCTGCAGAGAGACCATCTGGACCTGGAGATTTAATGGATTGTAAAGAATTTACATTTCACACTCCCACAGTTCACATTTTTTGAGGTGATAAAGACATTTGGATAATTTTATTTTTTGGATGTTTTACATAAAATGAAGAGCCATGATTGAAACTGGAACGGGAGTCAGGAGATAACCAGATTGTGTACAATGTGGTAAAGTGCTAACAAATACCCACGTGCTACATGATTAATTTAGTATAAATGCCAGTTGTGGATTTGATTTGTCAGCAGTTGGCTCAGGTTTTGTGATTACTGGCCAATAATTTAACTGATGATTTGATCTATAACAGAATCCTCAACTTTTGGGAATGAAAGAGAGTTGCAGGGATAGTGAAATGCATTAACTATACACAGAGCTGTTAGCTGCTAGAATGGATACTGATACGTTCTGGTGTCTTCATGCAGCTGATGAATAGCCTACAGTATGATTTATAGTGGTAATTCAGGACAGGGAATAGAACCAAGTGACTGCTATTGTTTCAATATGTCTTCATGGAGTGTTTTTGAATTGCAGATACGGAGGCAAAGAACACTGGGTCCATCTATAAATACAGCTGCAAAGTATGGCACTGCTCTTGCCTTGGAGTCAATCTCTAGTCTCTGTTCTTGGCATATCAGCACTGGACCATAGGGAAGGGCCATCTGTCAGAGGTAATTGAAAATGGAGGCACTGACCATCTGTAGGTATTTAAAGTCTCCTGACATTTTTTGCGAGCTAAAGGATAATTCAGTGTTAGAATTTATATTGTGTCTACCTATTATCCTCTACATTTTTCAAGGGAATGCATTAATTTTCGTCTGTTGTCTTTCATTTTGTCGCCCATCTCTTTATGTCACACAAGCCTATTTTTCATCCCTCTCTGCAGTTCACTCTTGACAGAAGTGACCCCTTTAAATCTTCGTAAGTTTGAGAATTTTTCAGAAGATGTGCTGTGTAAATTACAAGTTACTGTTATCGCTGGACCAAGCAGAAGCTTCCCTTAAAGCCTTAAGATTTGACCAGACTAAAATGGAATTCAGATCTGGTTTCTACTTTACAAAAATCAATCAATGCTGTATTACATTGCTTTCCCATTGTCCCTATGGTGTAAATGATTTAGCAAATGGAAAGGCCAGCTCTATTCCAAAGAAAAGATGTATAAATATATAAAGGCGCCTGCAGACTCCCTGTATGTGCACAGCTATAGCTGTTAACAGGAAATAATAATGTACACTGCTTGTGGGATCAAACTTTTGATTACATTAAGGAATTAATAAAGATTTGTAATGCTTATTTTACATGTTGAACTGTTGAATTTTATTTAAACATTTATTAGGTGTGTCAGTGTGAAGGAAACCAGCTCTGTCAGATACACACACACACACACAAACAAAGAGTAAGTTTTCTTTCTTCCAGAAAACAAAACACAAACAAAAACCCCCAAACAAACAAACAAACAAAAAACCAAAAACCAAAAACCAAAAAAACCTGTGGTAGATAGGGACAGGCGGAGCGGAAGATCACGGAATGTCACGGAAAGATAGACCCCTCCCCCCCTCTCTCTTCCCCACTTATCCATTAACCCCAGGAGTCCCAGAAGAATGTAGCCACACCTGTTCTAGTAAATTTCCACTACCCACTATCCCTGAGACCCCCAGCCCCCCTCTGACGTAGCAAAGACCCCTAAAAGCTATTTAAAACCCACGAGATAGGATAATAAACGCTTTTCAACCGTCTGCCATATTGGTGTCTGCGTGTGTTGATTAGCCCGAGTGGCTTGGGCGAGACCAGGCCGCCGTGCTGCCACCTGAACCAGGTCCCTGGTTGTCTTTCATAAAGGCAACAAAAACCCCAAAAAAGTTGTTGGAATATTTCTTTTAATTATCCTTCTAGTCCAGGCATTCAAATACTGTACATATGCTGAGCTCACATGAAGAGAAAGAAGAGATACAGAGAATTTTTATTAAAAATGCACTCCCAGCAGGATTTGAAATAACTACTTTGAAATACAAAGCCAGAATTTTATTATCAAAGCTAAGCAAATTTTCTGAACATATTCAAGGTACTGTTATGGTAAGTGAAGGAAGCCTGTGAAGTTGCTTGGAGTTCAATAGAATAAAAAGTAAAACACATTTATATTTCAGCAGATGGTTGGTTTTCTGATCAGGATCTACATGCACACAGACTACAGAGAGGAGAGACTAAAGGTTCATTTTCTGCACAGCCTTGTGCTCTCTTTCTAGGCAAACACTCTGTCAGCGTTAGGCAGGGGAGCCCTGAGTGTGGGATGCAATATGGAGCACAGAGCAGCTGAGTGTGAAGGCTGTGTATTTGTGTCCCAGGGAGGCCAAGCAAGGAATATGCAAGAGTATTTCACCCTTTCCCCAAAGCGTCCTCCTCTCCCATTTCATCTTAATACTGCAGTGCCAGAAGAAGAGTATATAGGAGTGCAGCATATAGGAGTTGCAGAGTAGAGACTGGAGAGACTGCCTATGGCATACTCATCCCTGACACGTTAGAGTAATGGGGATGTTAGCAGTCCTGGCCCCTGCAGTGTGCTGGGGCTGTAGTGCTCTGCACACCTGCATGAAGCAGCATGATTTGGACCAGAAGAGCTGTGATCATCTGCCTGTTTATTTTCAGAGTTGGAAGCTGGCAGCTGGTTGTAGAGCTGGGATGAAGGTGACTTTGTCACCTCCCTGTTCTTGCCACCTCCAGAGCCTGCTTCTAAAGGCCTGAAATGAAATGAGTTGCCAAAAAATATCACTGAAAGATTGACTTTCTTAGGGTGGAAGTGTTCTTCTCAACCACCAGAGACTATAGACTAACTGCCTTTGGTTTCCAACTGGAAAAATATCTATTTGTATTTTGGTGGTATTTTTCTTCCTGCAGAAGCCTTTTGAGGCAGAAATAACTGCATGAATCCTGTGTTAGGATTAGTCTGACACAAACTAGCTATCAAATTCATCACCTGAGTGAGTTTCTGAGCTATTCTTGGGTACCATATTGCCTCACAGAAGCTTCTGCTGTCTATTTCATTCCTGCTGCTGTTTGCTGTCTCCAAGGAAAGGAAGGAATTGGCACTTTTTTAGGGGTTGGTTTGGAGGCTTTATAGAGGGAGTCAGTAAAATTGGTTCAGAGCCTTCAACCACAGACTCTATGAAAGGCTTGTATTTCCAGCATGGACATGGTGCTCCTGGTCAGATTCACACTTCTAATACTACACTGAAGGAATGTACTTCTGCAGCTTCTAATGTTCTACCACTGTTATCTCTAAGTCACCATCATTTTCTGGGACTAGAATTTTCTAACCTTAGCCCAGTCTTTCAAAACTTCCGGTAATCTGAGTTCCCTTTTTATGCCTTGGCATAGAGCAACATCTTAGCTGCATTTGGTAACAGTGGTTTTGAAAAATAAGGAAGCAAATTCTCACTCTTGTTTATGATTTCAGACTCTTTTTGAGACAAGGATCACTGCACTCACATTTAAATGTAACTCAGTGTTCTTCCTTCCTATTTTTGAAACTTACTATGCATGTATATTCTGGGGTACTAGCACAAAACAGTGTGCTTGTTATCTATTATACCATGATATATTTACTGAGAAAATTTCAATAAATAAACCACAGGCTTGAACCTCTGAACCCTTCTAAACCAGCTGATTCCCATGGTGGGTTCAGGAGTTTTTATGGATGGATACTGTGTTCTCATGAGAATTTTATGGAAGCTCGTAGACTCAAAACTTGACTAGCAAGAGAATTTATGAGGTTACATGGGAACAATCACATCTTTCATTCCAACACCCTGTGAGTTTATAAAATGAACCCTTCTTTAAACTGTGTTAGAAGAATGTTAATGCAACTTTAATAAAATACCTCATATTTTCAATTATTTCTCTTCAGCCAGAAAAGCTGGATAATTTTACCAACTTTTCAGTTTTCAGTTATCCTAGATTAGAGAGTTGGTTAAAGGCTTTTGCTAAAAATTGTGAGAAAAAAAAAAGAAAGCAGGGGAGAAGGTCATAAATTACTAAACATCGATGAACCCTTGTCAAGATGGATAATAGAAAGGGTGAATAGTGCCCACTATGCATTTGCTTAGCCTCTATTCTGTTTATCCTCTTGAATACTCTCTAAAATTTCTCTTGTGATTTTGTTTAAATTTAGAACAATGTTGAAGTTCTGTAGCCGCTCATTATCTCACTTGAAATTTAACTTATAATGTTATTTTGCATCACAGTTGAGCTGGAAAATTGCCTAAGACAGGAATTGAGGTCTTTGCTAGTGAACTACAGAGGAAGTGGTCTAAGCAAGACTCCGTTCTGGGGATATTCCAACATTTTATTACATTGTGTGTACTAATGAGTAGAGAAAAGGGCTGTGAGCCAGGAAGGGCAGAGTTTTAATCAAATTACTCATGATATGGCCTTCAGCAAAATACGTGACCTTGTAATTCAGTCATCTTAGCTGTGACAGTGGGTAAAAATAGGGGTTCAGTGTAGTGTTCAGGCAGAGATACAGATGTGCCTGCTTCAGCTGCATTCAAGATCTGCAGTTTTTTCCTCCTATGGAGCAGATACTATGGGAAGACAGAAGATCTCCTTTCACCTGCTCCAGAGAAGCTCAAATCCAATCTGACATATATTTTTTTCTTGAACGATAGCTTTTAAAACTGTCAGATGGAGGTCAGCTTTGTCTGATTCACCTGTGAGTGATCAAATTTGTTGGTTATGGTGGTGATGAGGTGCCAGGGAGACCAGGCACAAGGAGGAGGAAGATGAACCTTTTGAATGGTTGGTTCAAATTGGGTCCATTGCTAGTGCAGTTTGCCCAAGCAGACAGAGCTAGGAGTCTGTCTGGACTGCACACTGATGCCCAAAGGTTGTTCTTTAATTGGTACATGATGTGCATCAGATTTCCAAGTGGCAGTGTAAATGTCGGCTTGGCCACCAACAGGCTGTGGTTATTTAAGATGTCACAGGCCTTGCTTTCAATCAAGGGTACATCTTTGGTACTTGGCTAGCACTGTGCTATTTAAGAGCAGCCTGTTTCTTCTGCTGCTTCCTTCAGATCTGTGTGTTAGTCCTTATGGCTGTCTTGGATCATGGTCCCAGAACTCCACCTGGGAAGCTTCCGGCTCGCAGCAGTGTGTAATAGCACTCAACTGTCCCCAAGATCCTGTCAGATAGAAGATGCCATACAGAAATATAAAGGAAACCTATTGTATGTCTGAATATTTCAGGCCATAAAAAAGAAAAAGGACTGGCTCACTTTGCCAGATTTGGAACCATCCATTTTATTTCAGTGTCACATTATACATTGCATTCTCACTGTCTTTCAGAAATGTGGGGAAGAAAACCTGGGGAGATTTTACTGCTTACCTAATCTGCTTTCATACCCTAAAGACCTGTTGCGATGGCAAAATACAAGGAGTTGAAGTATTGTTGCTTCTTAGCCTACAGACTTAGCAGAACTGCATTTTCATATGATTGTTCAAGCATAGGGAAAACATAATAAATATGTCCCATGTCTCTAATCTTTGCTATCTCAGGACAGGAAGGAATGGGCAAGGTAGATACTGTACTGCCTTTTGTAAATCAATTGATCTGTGTATTTTCACATGTTTATGCAGAACAGGTTGACTAAGCCTCTTGTGCTTCAGAGAGAAAGTATCCCTGAGCTAACATTTTACTGATCCTGTGGAGATTAAAATAGGAGGAAACTGCATACAAACAGGACTACAAATCATTGAAGTTATTTAATAAGAGAAAGGCACTAGGTTGGCTCAAACCCAATCTGGAAAGGCTCTTAGTTGAGGTTATACAAGTGACCACATCTGGCCTAATTTTTTTATATCTTATGTTGTTTTATGAATTTGTTTATCTTCTCTTTGATATTTCACATTCACTAGGTTTCTTGGTTTTCTGGTTCAGTTCATGTGAGCACAGCAGTTTGGAGTTGGATCATTATTCCTCAAGTTCTGCAGCAGTTAAGGAGCAAATGCAGAAACATTGTTTATTCTTTAATAAGATGTTTATATTTTTCGCATGTTGATCAGCTCGCAGCATAAGATGAACTAACAAAGAGGCTCATTTTATATCTCTGAATGACCATCAGTTTCTCATGGGACTAAACTGCGAATAATGCAACTGTTAGGAATGGGCCAACAACAGCTTTGGTATTTGCTTCCTCTGGCAAATAAAAAATGGTTCCCCTCATAATTGTTCCCCTCAGTCATATTGCTGGTTATCTGTATCCTTTTCCTGACAGCCACTGCCCAGCAGAGGGGGTAGCTACTGA